TCTGAGAACTGGATCAGTATGGAGGACATTCATGGGCATTCACCTGATGATTTACCGAAGGGGTCTGAAGAGTTTTGATTCCTTGTGAGTTTTGACATAGCATCCTGGTGGGCGGTTTGATTCCTTGCGCGTGTGTTTTGAGATAGCATCCTGGTGGGCACATCATTCTTCTCCATTGGTCGATTGTCGAACCAAAATGGCTCTATACCAAAATGAAATCTGAAAGCATTTGAAGGTGACAAGTCTGAAACGTTGAAAAGGTCTAAAATGCTCAACGATTTAGGGTCTACTATGCACACAGTGAGTATCCTAGACCCTATGCCTGGAAGTACATAGAGCCCCTCCCATCCTAGACCTTTAGTAGTTGGGGTTATGCATGTGAAACATACGGTCCATCTTCTATTCTGATATAAGTTCCGAAGTTTGTTCTGTCACGTATTCTGACATTTGAATACTTTAATACTTTTGATGCTGCATGTTCTGGCACTTGCTCTGCTATGTGTTGAGCTTGTTCTGACATTCGTCTGAAGTGTTTTGACATGTCGTTTGAAATGTGCTCTGTCACCTTGTGTTCTGACATATCTCTGTCACCTGTCAAAAATGGAGCGCGCATCACTCTGCAGCCCGCATCGTCTGAAAGGAGGAAGTGGCAGGACGGGAGGAGGTGGCGGGAGAATGTGGAGAATGTGAGAGGAGTGGCAGTGGACCTCAGCCTCAGCAGAGATAATATGACACTGAGTAGTGCATCATTAGCATCACAAACGCCAGGATTATATTAAAGTTGTCTACTGAGGTGGGTTGACCATTTTTAGAGACTCCTCACCTGACAACGGGGAAAATCAAAAAGAACAAAGGCAAGTTCAACGACCCAAGGCCTCAATGCACTCTCCAAAGTGCCTGTTGTGGGAGCATACCCTGATGACTCAGCGCTCCAGCAATAGCTTTCATAGCTAGCAAGCTCCCATGCTCGGTACTTGTACCCATCCTTGTCATAGCCTCAAATGGAATAGATCACGTTCACTAATACACCAAGAATCTCAAGATTGAAGAGCACATGAACCACTTCATTGGGAATTGGATGGTGTATGATGTTCACATCTTTTGCATCGCGTGATGTGTTTACTTTACTTGCCAGGCAGGTTGCGACACCTCTGCTCATCCGGATCATCGACTGTGGCGATGCCAAATTCCGTCACCAAGGGCGTCAAAGGGTTCTGAGCGCTAGCTCCATGAATCCAGCTGGCGCCGAGGTCTGTCGGGAAGCCCAATTCATGGCCTGGTGGGTGGTTTCAATCACGAACCAAAAATGGAGTTGGTGGGGAAAATAAACATCTTGAAGTAAAGGTGGAACATCAACATCTCTTGAAAATCACCACCCAGCAACTGGTCCACGTACGACCACCAATGCGATCTCTTCCCTCCAAGAGGGTGACGCTGTGACCGTTCTCTTGGAGCTTCTTTGCAGCACTCAGGCCGCCCATCCCAGCCCCAACCACCACCACATCCAAGGCCGTGGTAACGGTTGCCAAGAGACTCGCGAGCACGAAGCGCTCCAGGTGCCCCATGGCGAAACTCCGAACAGCTGAACCAACTCCGAGCAGCTGGACAGACTTAAAAAGAGCGTCTTGCTACGGCTTCCCAAAATGGGCTAGCGGGGCAGGTGCCAACCTGTGCCAACTCTGAAACGAAACAGTTCGTCAAAAACCCGGCGACGTGTGCCTTCACAGTGACGCGCTTGGGCGTGCCGCAGAAGTTGGAGAGCTCTAAGAAAATCTGGCCTCAAACGTCCAACTCAATCATGACTTAATTAAGCATGCTTAATCGATATCCATATACTCCCGGAATTGGGTGGAAAATCGGCAGGAAACTCAATGTTATGGAGGTGAAAGACCTGATTTCCTGTAGGCTTTCTCGGCTTTCCCATACAATCTTCACCCTCTCGGCTTTCGTGCAATTCCGGGGGTCTAAGTCTAAGTCGGATGAAGGTTTCGGCAAGTCAACACGCGCCGCCCCAGCGCCCTTTTGAAGGTCTGAGGGCACCAAAGAGGTGCCAAGGAGATCCTAAAGGTGTCCAAATCAAAGGCCACAAACACAGGCGTTGCATCCGAAATGGGCGGCGCACGTGGGCCCTGACGCGACACTCACAATGGTGAAGGCCACTTAGAACTCGCAGGTGGTCGTCTCCGGTGGTCCTCTCATTACAAACTCCACTTGAATCAAGTTCTGGGAGGCTAGTTTTCGGCGCGGGGCATCCTGCGATGGGCAATGGATAAACCATACCACCTGAGCCGCACTGGTCACTAGTGACCCTGGGGCTCCATGTGCCTCCTTAGAAGGTATCTAGCTCTCAAACACCTGTTCAGAAGGTTAGGCTGAGTCTAGCAGTTGACAATTAGAAAGCATCAGGCTGGGGAAGGAATCCGTGTCTTCCCAACGGCACGACCCACCCGCTGGGAGCGCATGTTTGCTACCCGCTTGCCGATCTGAGATTCCTCGTTGTGCAAGGCCCGGACCAAGCAACTTGTTTCGGACCGCCGGATCCTCTTTCTTCCTGGAGCGCGTTCGACGGCGCGTTCGACGGACGGCGGAAGGGAAGCCCTGAAGGATGCCGAAGCAAAAACACACAACACAGAACGTGTCCTGTGTAGAATCCTCCCGCACCAATGTGCCAAAGCCCGTGCGATTGCTGCTGTAATTTCACCTTTAAGAGTATACAGTAGGGGAACAACAAACACATCACTGTGTGATAAACATCTCCGCACCCCCATGTCGCTGGTACAGTAACTCCCTTGTTTATATCATCACCAACTTGAGCACCTAATTAGAAGACCATCACTGTTTGGATTCTTACCTACATCAAATGCCGTGATCATCCACAAGCATCCAACCAAAAAAGGAAACCGCCTGGAGGAAAGCCTCTTGCATGATAATGTTGAACAATAACATCAAATCACATCAAACCCGTCCAAATTCAAATGATTTATCTACCACCCGCTCTTAAGCCTCATTAAGCCTTGAACCACATCCTAAGGTCCCGCCATGCCATGTGCAAAGAACCCAATCATTTCCAGAACCATCTGGGTCAAGAAGCTCAGGTGGAGTCGGGCGCTTCATCGTGAGTGTTGGCTTCTCGGAACCTTTGCCAACTATATATGTACAATATAGAACTTCTAGAACCAACAAACTCAGAGCATTTGGCCGCTCAGCCACCTGACGGTTGGCGAAAGTCTTGAACTCAAGCGTTGCTAAGATTTAGACCGAAACAAAAAGTATCCAAGTGGCTGGCACTTAAAAAGCATCTTTTGGCTACTGTTTAAGCAGGCTTGGATCTGGCCATCCTGCCTTTGCTTTCGGCCATTGTGGCAACCCCCATCCAAATATGCAGGAATCATAAACCGAAACCCTTTTTCCATCTGAAGCTTCAGCATGTTCCTTGAGGCCTTCTAGCTCACTGCCCGACCCCGCCCAATTCCCCGTCTCCGCTCCTGTTGGCCTTCTTCCTGCCATTGGCCGTGGCCTCCTTAGAGGCCTTGGCTGGCACCACCGAAGAAGCGCCTCAGAAGCAGAAGCCGGTGAGTGGATATGACTCCGGTGTATGTGCTCGCAAGCTGGCCAATCTGGTCAGTTCATGTCAATTCCATTTGTTCTGACATGCTGGTCGACGTTGAGATTCACCCCCTGGAGTGCTAGGCCTAACCCAAGAGTGGGGAGCAGAGGTGTTTATGAGGCTTCAATGATGCTAGCAGTGCCGGCAGAAGGGCCTAAGACAGACTAGCTTGATCTCAGAGATGCAGACGGAGCAACCCCATACGTGTATACTTCAACACAAATTGAGAAGGATGAGAGTGGATCCCAACAAAGCTGTCCATAAATCCATGGACAACCTCCACTTATTGGAAGTTGAGACCCTCTGCTGGCTTCTTCTTTCAGTGAAGCTTATAATATGATCCCACTTGCCACAACAGCTTAAAGGATGAGACGGTTTTTCAGTCCCTGTGACCCCACTCAAGGCCGGACATCGCCTCTTCTCCACCCCTCCCAGTCTCGGCCGTTGGCCGAACTTCAGGTTGTTCGCTGCCGAGGCGAACAACCTATGGTCCTTTTTAGGGGATTTTCAGGACCAACGGGGGAAGAAAACACGGGGTTTTGACCTCGGCGCTCCAAAATGGCCACCACCTGGTTTCAGATCCCTTCACCTGGAAGACATACCACACAAAAAGGCCACTGCTGGGAGCGAGATCCCTGCCTGGAGGAGGCACTGTTTGCACTGGCTCCGCCATCGCCTGCGGTGAGATGGTCCAAACAGGGGGCGAGATGGTCCAAACAAGGGGTCGTATTTAGTTTTTATGTTTTGACTGTTTCAAGTGACTTGATGTGGAAAAATGTATGCAACCACTCAGTAGGGGGGCTCCAAAATAAGATGTTGGGACATGCGAGTGTTTTTCTCTGACTTTTGAACATATCATCGCTTTCTGTAGAGTTCGATGTTCCCTGTGGCCTGTAGACCAAAGAAACGGCAAAGCGCTGTTGTCCAATGTTGGGCATCTCATTGCCTTCCCACACCTGATGATGGTGATCCAACAATATCTAGAACCAATTTATCGTTGTTCCAGGAAATATCGTTCATTGAGGCACAAAAAGGGGCGCCAAATGAGTCAAAAAGGTGACACAAGACACAAAGATCGACGGTATATCACATACTGACTCTTGGGAGGCTGAAACTGGTTCAATCAGCCCAAGCCGAAAGGAAAAGGAGGATCCTTGTCCGACTAAGGATCACCAGGGGAGCCTGGCGCACCCAATCTGTTGTGCGGCGTTAAAGGGTGCCAAAGAGATGACATCCAAGGGCTGGCCAAGATGTTGAAGGTCTCAGGAAACCAAGCATGCTTTCACCGGTTTCCTCCCACTTGCAAGTGATACAAAGATACTGAAACAATAACTTTCTGCCACTCATTCAAACAGAACAACACTGCAAACATCTGTAAAACGGACCCTCCAGTTTCTACCATGATGCATACAAACAGTGACCAGTCAACGTGCCGCCACCTCCTCAGAGCTCATGCTGGAGTACTCCTCGAGAAAGAGCATGAAGAAGTGGAGAGGCACTTCTCAGGTTGGACTGCTACCCTGCAACAACCAAACACCATCCAACCCTCCTTTCAATGGTTCTTGGAGAGAGCTTCACGGTTTCCAATGTTGGCGTTCGTGTAAGTCGGATTTTGGACATCACCCACAGCGGAGTTTTAGCTGGTCCATGTGTGATCTGAAATGCGGAAGCTTTGCGGAATCGCTGTGTGGAATGTTTCAGCCAAACAAAACGACGTGGACATACCTGGCATACCTGGCGGACACCTGGTCAGGTATGTCGGTGACCTGGACATACCTGGAGCTGGACGCTCACCTCGGGTGTCACGGACGACGACGCAAGGTCCGCGCCCAGCGCCCCACGCGACCGTCCACCGGTCCGACTCGCTGTCGGAGTCGCTCTGGACCGCCAGGCCTGGGAGGATTGGGGCGATGTTTGGGGACTTGAGGCCTCTCTTCCAGCTTCTGAGGCACTAAGACCAAAGACATGGACATTGATAGACGATGGAACCAATTCCATCTTCGTTTTGAAGCAATATATACACTATACTCTTGAATTTCAGGAGTGGATGTTGTGTGAGGGCCTCCTCTCCTCTCCTCTCCTCTCCTCTCCTCTCCTCTCCTCTCCTCT